GTTATATTTCTGTAGGGGAGACCCTATATCTGTTAAAATCATATTTGACTGTTTTCAAGAGTTCTCCATAACCTCTGGTTTATCAGTAAATGCTAAGAAAAGCTCCATTTATTTTGGAGGAGTATGCAGAGAAGATCAAATTGTCATCTTGCAGACCTTGGGGTACTTAAAAGGGGAGTTGTCTTTCAGGTATTTTGGATCCCACTGAGTACCAAAAAGACTAATGTGATACAATTCAAACCATTATTACATGGGATGCTGAGCAAAATCACATCCTGGAATGCAAAATTCTTATCTTATGTCGGACAAGTACAGCTGCTAAAATCTGTATTATTCTCTATACAAATCTTCTAGTTGCAAGTTTTTGTCCTCCCAAAGAAAGTCGTGCAATTGATTGAATCATTGTGTAGAAGGTTCCTATGGACGTGGGGCTGACATATCAAAAAAAGCACTAATTGCTTGGGACCGACTATGCTACCCAAAATCTGTCGGGGGGTCTAGGACTACTTGATATATATGCTTGGAATAAAGATGCCATATGCAAACATTTATGGAATTTGTGTGGGAAAAAGGACAAGCTTAGGATTCAATGGGTTCATGCCTACTATATCAAGCAGAGTAGGATATGGGATGCAAAGGTTGATAAAGCTTAATGGGTGGTGAAAAAGGTCTTGCATGCAAAAGCAACATTTGAACAAGTTGGATATACTGAAGATGAGGTAACACAAATGGCTACTTTCTCCACAAAAGAAGTATATTGCAAGATTAGGGGGGAATTCTAAAAAAGTCGATTAGAAGAGAGTAATTTGTGACAATCCTAGGTCCCCAAGGTGGGTTTTCATTCTTTACATTGCTGCCCACAGAAAACTACTCACCAAAGATAGGGTCGCAAAGTGAAGGCCTGTTGATGACTTGAAATGTCATATGTGCAATAATGAGGATGAATCTATTGATCGCTTATTTTTCCATTGCCATTACTCTGCTACAATCTAGGACATGCTTTTGATCTAGCAAGGGATTGCTAGAAAATCCATGGGGTGGCGGGAGGAGCTTGATTGGCCTGCGAGATATGGGCAGGGAAAATCTACTAACGCAATCCTATATAGACTGACGATGGCTTGTTGTCTATACAATATATTGCATGAGAGAAATATAAAACTATTCCAGCACAAGTGTAGACCTGTTGAAATGCTGATAAGGCAAGTCATCCAAGAAGTTCATTATAGAGGCGCGATGGTACCTAGATTGAATAGGAGGTTGGATAGTCTTAGCTTTTACCCTTAGTGTTTGAAAATAGTTTGTTTTAGCGGGTAGGAGATATAGTAATATTTGCTGGCTTGGGGTTGTATGTCCAAGTCAGCAGTTTTGATCTTTGATTTTGAGATGTATATATTGTACTTGGTAAATAAAATATTTAGTTACCAATAAAAATAATGTTTTTACTTTTATTTTTTTGAAGATATGTAGCTAAAATCTATGGTCAAACGGGAGTTTTGTGTAATTGATTTTTTCGGAAAAGTTATGTATTTTTTCTAATTCTATCGCATCAAAACTTATACAAATAAAACAATTATATACTAATATTTTTTCTCTGTATATGAATCTGTTCTTTAATGTTTATACTATTTTATTAGGTCAAATAGTACTTTCTTTATTATAATATAAACTATTAAGTAAGGTTAAAAATTTAAATATATTTAACTACATAAACTAAAATTATGTGATGTTTTCTTTCGTTGTTATTTGTCACGAATATAATGTGAAAGATAAATTTTAATTTATACATATTAAACTCGGTCTAATAAGATAGTACCAAATAGAAATAGTATCCAGTCAAATATTCCGGCAACTAATCTATTCATTTGTGTTTGTGATATTAAGTGGAAAAGGATATATGGGCAAGTCATCATCCCCGAGTTTTGAAGGCTGCGGTCGGCCCAAAGGGTCGGCTCCATATGAATTTTTGGGTCATCAACAAAAAGAGAAAAAGAAAGAAAAGAATGCACGGTTGACATTTGACAACAAGTGGCACTTAAACTTGAGAAGACACCTAAATGACTAGGTTTTGGAGAAATTAGAGAACTTTTCAACACATTAGTTCCTTTTGAAGAACTATCTAACAGGGTAGACCGACTAGTGTGGACAAAGTAACCAGAGGTGTATTCAGTGTAAAGTTACCATAACTTTCACTCATATTCTGTATTTTTGTCCATAAAATCATTAAATATGTATAAATAAGAAATTTTGAACCCATTAAATTAGATGAGATTCGGTAGAATTACAAATTTGAACCCATAATTTAAATCCTGGATCCGCCTCTGAAAGTAAGAGTATATTCACCTAAGTTGCTTGGACACGGGTGCGGGTGTCCAATACGCGTGCGGATCTAGAGGTCAGATCCTTCGAAATGTAAATTCTAAAATTCGGGGATACAGATCCTAGTACGGATACGGATACAAAGATCCGGCTAAAAATAATTCAAAAATATAGAAATATCTCTAAATTATGAGAAATTTTGTGGAATAATTACGTATAGCTTGTAAAGTGTGAATTTCTTTTTTATTCTCAAGTTATAGATAAGTAAAGGATTGATTTCCTAGATAAGGTATGCTTTATTTCCTTCAAATTTACCCTAGTTTTGGTTCTGATTTCGGGAACTAATTTCTACATCTATTGTGGTCAAAGTACCCAAAATTGGTGGATCCCATACCCATAACCATACCCATACTAGTGTCATGTCGATACGGTGCAGCACCTAAACTGCATCAGAGCAATTTAGATGTTCACTATCATGTCTTTCTATGACCTGTCACAAACTAATGCAAACCAGTTAACACAAGATCTCCATCAAATATTGAACAATTTGTGTTAGTTAATTTAGTGAGAAATGTGAAGAAAAAGAATTAATATGAAATCCTTTTCGAGGTGTAATTTTTGCAGCTTTTGCGTTTATTTGTTGATGATTTGACTGCCTCTCTGGTTAAACTTTTTTTTCATATTTTTCGTTAAATTTAACGAACAGTAAAAAAGATATTTGATGAAGACAAAAAATGCTCACTTTTTGCAAAGGCCAAATACATAGACAGCCCCTCTAACTTGGCATCAATTATCATTTTGGCATTTTATCTCAGCCATGTTCCATTTTGACACTCCAACTCTATTATTTATGTGTCATTTTAACACAAAAACTTTTATCCGATGTAAAAATGCAGAGCATATTTATACTTGCTTCTAATGTGTAACAACCATCCAATTAGATTTGGACACGTATTTTTTTATCCTTGTCAACTGGGTTTAACCCAAATACTCGGTTATGTAAATTATTTACCCAAATCGGTTACCCTAAAATAAAAATCCTTTATTTTCTCTAACTCTCAAAGTCGTCTGTACTAATCCCACTCCCCTCCTAGCCTTAGGAGATGAAACCATCGATTATTGAAGGATTCTTCGTCATATAAGGACGAGAATCATATTTTCATAAATTAATTCTTCATATTTTGTTGTTTGATAGTTAAGGCTCTTTTTGAGAGCAACCATTGTTTATTGTTGTGGTTCTTGTACTGATAGAGTGATAGTGTCCATTTAGCCATGCATTAAAGTTTTTCTTTTTGTTTTTCTGGTGGTTTGAGAATTGGAGACATGGTCCACTTGAAAAATTCAAGCTTCGAATGAAGATCTGGGTTTGGCTTTAGGATATTATTAAGGGATGCTTACAGTTTCAAATAAATCTCAACTTACCAACCTCTAGCCATTAGTCATAGACTTACCAAAACTAGCCAACAAAAATTAAAAAACCAAATAATAGGGTTCTTTCTCTCAAAGAATCACATGCAAAAATCACCTTTTATATTTTTAAGCGTGATTAGCAACATTAGATACAAGACGGAAAGGAAATTTCATGGACGGGGTAGCAAATAAGGTGATGAAATACAAAAATCTATACAATATTCCAAAAATCTAACAAAAAAGGAACTTTTTAATTGGTATAGTTGAAATTCATTGAAAATATATAGATAAGTCAATATACAAAATTTGAGGAAGATTGAAGGTGATTTGGACTAGTTTTGTATCAAAATTCGTAATTAAATCGAGTTCAAAAAAGTCTCTGCGACACATGTATCAAACATGTATCACGCATGTATCTCACACACAAGTATACATGTGATACACAATTGATACAAATATGATACATATGTGATACACAAATGATACACAGTGTGATACACATATTATTTTTTTTCATGTTCAGCTTTTACTTCGAATTTTTAATTCAAACCACCTCAAAACATCACCAAATCATCCCAAAATTGAGATTCAAGCTCCTTAAGTTGTGCCCAATCTATTCTAATAACACCCACTCAAAACAAAGCTAAATTTGATATTTTTTTGCAACAAATAACTAATTGGCTAATTTGGCTAATATTAGTAATATTCTATCAATTGGACAATTTTTGTAATGAGCTACTTATAAATGGACATAGCTGGTAATTTCCCTATTATTAAACGAAGAAACGAAAAAAAAATCAAGAAAGAATTTGCAAAAGGCCAGACTTGCATTTAAATGTAATTTTATGGCCTTTTATTATCGTTAAAATAAAGTCTCACGCACCTATCAAGTGAGGAAACTCAACCAATGTAACAAGTCAACTTTTTGTGTTAAAATGACACAAAAGAAATGGGGTTGAAGCGCCAAAATGAAACATAGCTTAGATGGAGTGTCAAAATGAAAATTGGTGCCAAGTTAGAGGGACTGTCTATATATTTGGCCTTTTGCAAAACTTAAGTGATCAAAACTGCTCAGAATAATATTTAAAGAACCATTTACTTGTGAGTGAATTTTTATGCAGTAGTGAGCTTTGGCAGGAAAAGTTTCTCTTTTCATTCTTGCTTCTTGGTTTTTGATATGAGAAAAAATGAATAGCAAGCAGTACTAATACACAACTATTGTCTCCACCTTCCACAATTTCACCTTTCAAATCTTTTACCTCTTCAAGAGACCATGCAAATTAATAGTACTATATTAACTAGCAGCAATTCAAGAGCTAAAGAAACCTTATTAAAAGCTATCATTTGTTACATCAAAAACTATAGTAAGGCAAACATAACTTGAGTATCATTAGCTTTAATCTAGAGAGGGGAAAAAAGATGTATAAGATAGACAGTGCTGGCATGTCGATTTCTTTATTAAATCCATGCTCCTTCAATCCATCAACAGTTGAAGGAAAAACTAATTAAGTTGCTGTCTTCAGCTCAGGAGCTGCAGCAGTCGAGTAAACTGGGTGAAGCACATGGCCATCCTTGGGCTCAACGTGCACCCACTTGCGTCCACTCAGCTTGTGGCGCTCAAACTTTACACACCCTTCTTTCAGAGCATAAAGCGTGTGATCTTTCCCTATTCCAACATAGTTCCCAGGATGGAATCTGGTTCCTCTTTGACGAACAATAATATTTCCAGGTATCACCCTCTGCGTCCAAAAAACTATATCAGAATAAGAATACTGAAGGATGCAAGAAATTGGCTTGAACTCATACTTGGTACGCAATGATTTTGATAAAATTTCTTTCCAACCCATAATTCCATGATCTCCATGTCATCAACGAACAGAATCCTTACCTCTCCACCAAATTTCTTTACCCCTAGATTCTTTGGTTTTGAATCACGGCCATTCTTAGTGGATCCTGCTGTCTTTTTGGTAGCCCAACGCTTAAACATCAAGCCTAATCCTTCCCCAGATACATCTACAATTTTCACAAGTAAAACTTATGTCAGAAATTTCAAAACTTACTGGTGGCATTTGTTTCAATTTTTACAAAACTGAGTTTGCAATTCTTTTTTCAAGTTTTTGCAAAAACTTTTTGTTTTGATGAATTTTTTTCCCTGCAAGATTTTAAAAACTGAAAGAAGTTATCTGTATCTTCAAAAATTTCATCAGACAGTACTATCAAATTCAGTCTTCAAACATTTTTATATATTATTCGAAAGCAGATGCTTCATGAAAGAGTACAACAAAATACATACCACTCGCGCCACAGTAAGTAGGTGTTCTTGTTACGAGATCTCTGATATTTAACCTCCTAAACAATGATGTTGCAGGGTTCATCCTGTTATTCACCTAGCCTAGCGCTGAAGAAAACAAATGATATCGTGTATGTTAAGGATGAAAATACTTCACCGATGCATCAACTACAGGATATGCAACAAATAAGTAGTTGAATTTGGTCCATCGAGAACAAAAGTATGCACACTAACGATTTAGTAAATTAAGCATACAACAAGGTAATTTAAACGGCTGCATTCCTGTGCTTTTGCTCTTATCCCCTTTCACATTACTTATTACTTTATCCTCGTGCTCTCTCTAGCTTCTTCAGTCACTTTACTCACTCCTCAAACACCGTTATCCTAGTTCATATCCACCTTCAAAACTTTAGTAATATAACTCAAGCACTTTATAAAATACTGTTACTAGTCAACACGCTTCATAAACCAGATGACCTACAGCTCCTGCTCTTTTGATTAAAACATCCCCCCCCCCCCCTTCCTGACACGATCCCCCTAAAAAAGTGGACAGCATCTACACGGAGGAGCGGGTGTTGAAGCATTCTACTAGTCTCAATGATAACCTTGGTAGAAAAGTATGTATTACCAGAAATACTAATTATCAAGTTCTCCAACATGCTAAAACAAAGACACAAGACCTATCTGGACGAGCCGATGAGGATTTCAAGGAATTTTTTTTTAAATATCTGCGAAATTCCCGAGGGTCAGTGGTGCATGGTTCGAAAATCAGTGCATAATGGGGTTGGTTTTCTATACTTTTCTAACTAAATACCAGTTTTTGTCCGAGGATCTGTGACATGCGCCTACCCCACACATCACAAACTGCACTCTGAGCACTAGAACAAAGCCCTGGGGCGATTTCAAGTTTTTCTTTTAAATGATCGAGAAATCCATCTGGGGCCAACCCTTAGGACCAACCGCAACCTTCGAAACTCGAGAATAACGGGCCCGCCCCTCTACGCTTCTCCACTTAAATACAAGGCTTAGTTTGCATGGTGCAGGGCTCGAACCCATAACCTAAGTCACAAGTCCCTCAACCTTTGCCACTTAAACTAGATTTCAAGGATATTTTAGATTGGTTGATAGGAAGAAAGATTTGCACATGATGTTTATTGACTTAGAGAAAGCTTGTGATAAGATTACTAGGGAGGTTCTTTAGAGATGCCTGGAGGAGAAAGGTGTGACGGTAGCTCACATTAGGGTGATAAAGGACATGTATAATGGAGCTAAGACTCGGGTTAGGACTGTGGGAGGCGACTCAGAGCATTTTCCAGTTGTTATGGGGTTACACCAAGAATCTGCGCTCAGCCCGTTCTTATTTGCCTTGGCGATGGATGCACTAACACACCATATTCAAGGGGATGTGCCATAGTGTATGTTGTTCGCTAATGGTATAATTTTGAGACGCGAAGCCGCGTTAACGAGAGGCTGGACGCTGGAGGTTTGGAGACAGGCCCTTGAGTCTAAAGGTTTCAAGTTGAGTATGACTAAGACAAAATATCTGGAGTGCAAGTTCAGCGAGATGACGGGGGAAGCGGACATGGATGCGAGACTTGACTCACAAGTCATCCCCAAGAGATGAAGTTTCAAGCACCTTGGGTCTGTTATCCAGGGGGTGGGGAGATCGACGAGGATGTCACGCACCGTATAGGGGTGGGTGGATGAAATGAAGATTAGCATCTGGAGTCCCATGTAACAAAAATGTGCCACCGAAACTTAAAGGTAAGTTCTATAGAACGGTGGTTAGACCGGCCATGTTGTATGGGGCTGAGTGTTGGCCAGTCAAGAATTCACATATCCCTAGAAGATGAAAGTAGCAGAAATGAGGATGTTGAGATGGATATTCGGGCACACTAGGCTGGATAAGATTAGGAATGAAGATATTCAGGAGAAGGTGGGTGTGGCTCTCATGGATGACAAAATGTGAGAAGCAAGGCTTAGATGATTCTGGCACGTGCATACGAGAAGCCTAGATGCCCCGGTAAGGAGGTGTGAGCGGTTGGCTTTAGCAATGAGAAGAGGTAGAGGGCGGTGTAAAAAGTATTGGGGCGAGGTGATCAAGCAGGACATGGCGCGACTGCAGATTTCCGAGGACATGGCTCTTGATAGGAAGGTGTGGAGGTCGAGCATTAGGGTTGAATGGTAGGAGATAGTTGAGCATTTTCTACTTTGTACCAAGGGTGGGGGTGGGGCAGTCTGATAGTGTGTTGTCATAGACTGCTAGTAGTTTATGTTGTGTTCACACTGTTTTTCCGTTTTTCATAGTACTGTGTGGTTATTGTTATTGCTTTTCCATCTATTTTCTGTCTCTTATGATGTTGATACTATGTTTCTGGCTTCTGTTGCTGTTACGGATCTATTGTCTATTTTCGTCTTCTTGAGTCGAGGGTCATTCGGAAACAACTTCTCTACTCCATCGGGGTAGGGATAAAGTCTGCGTACACTCTACCCTTCCCAGACCCCATGTAACAAATAGGCAAACTCCTTACTATATCAATATGAACTAGAACTCAATTACAAATTCGGATAACAACGCAACATTCAAACAACTGAAATACAATAAGAAACACTGGAATGTAAAAGTAGCTAAGGATAAAGATAAGAAGGGGATGAGAACTTAGACTCAGAGAAAGGGGGACGAGAAGAAGCAGACACTTTTCTTCACAATACGCATGCCTTCTCCCTCGCACAATCTGATAATTATAAGAACTATATTTCCTCTAGCCCAGTAACTCTTCAACACGTGTACCTCAACCCGGGTCCCAATGGTAAACCAAAGACCTTATTTTGGTTGTTTAATCATTTGACCCCAGTGTAAAATATTCCCAGGCCCAAGTGCCTTAGTTTCTTCGGCCCCATTCATAACAATACCCCCGCCCTGAATAAGAACCTTGTCCTCAAGGTTCGGGTTAAGAACAGTGTTAGTAGTGCGCACTCTGCCAACTGTCTTTATACAAAGGAGTGTTGGGAAATAGAATAAGAAGACAGGATCTATGACAATTTGGTGAAGGTGCCCTGAGATAGCTGCCACTGTAATGTTGACATCCTTTGGCAATATGTCTCCACAAATCATAAGGCAGCGAGTTAGGAACTTGAATGGAGAGGGTCACACTTGACTAGAGCATCTTGGACAATCCTCTCAAAGCCAGCATCAACAGCAGTGATGGCTTTAAGAAGCAGGCTGATCATGGGGTACTGCAATTGAGCTCTTTGTCTATATAGAATCATGGCACCTATGTATCTTGATAAAAAGAGAGCAACCTGGTGCATGTTAGACATATACCCACTCCCTATAATAGAGGCATGTATTATGCTCATTTTCCAAAAGTTCACACTCAATAGAGATAATCCAATTGACTTATTCTCTCTCACTATTGCACAGCATAGTTCTTTATGGGGAGTACACTTCACAAGAGCCAAAGACATTCCCCGTTGTCTTTGACAAGGATGTCATCACCACTATTTAGAAAATTGATAATTTCAGAAGAGGGGTAGTGAGAATCATTGAGGCATACCAGTTTTATCTCCTCGGCACAAATTATATTCTCGGTTGCAGTGGAAAACCTCGTGTCGACAGGTGAAGCTACATTAAAACGGGCATCACAGCAAAACTGTAACATCAACTCATTGAACGTGAATTCTGTGGCACCCAGTTCAAGCATGTCCCCAAGTATAGAAACTTGTGTACTTTGGAGGATGATGTTTCTTAACAACATAGTGTCACCCTTGGCCAAAAGTAATTCTCCAGGGGAAATAGCTACATGAAGGAATGAGGCTATCTTAAGTGAACAAGGAAGAAAACTTTTATTTGTGTCATCATACGAATAACTACTAGGTAAAGCAATGTCCAGAGGTGTTTAAGACCTCACACAAGTCCAGTCAACAATATAAAAATGAGTAAAATTTGGTAAACTAGTAACTGATAGTGCCAAATCAGATTGCAAATTGAAGGAATTCACACACCATGGTTGTCCGGGATCCCACACTCTTGTCTTAGAGTTAAAATATGCAATGAAGCAAAACTTTCCAGTACAACCCAACAATATTAGGGCCGCTACATTCGCTGTACCACCTGTTAGAGCCAAGAACGCGGAACTTATTCCAAGATCCCACACATATAGATCCATAGTTACGCGAATAGTTACTACAAAGAAATTAGCACCGGGATCAATGAAGTCATGCCTCTCACTACGAGCAGGAGTTGAATCAACCATTTCGTCGCTTGCTATAAGCAATAGCAAAAGGCGTGATGGTCTAAATCCTTTACAACCATTAGATTTTACAGGGAAGTGCTGCATTTGTAAAGAGTTTACGGGATCAACATGCCATGAGCGCGGTTCGCATCTGCTTGACGCAGTTGCAATATCAAGAACTTGAAAGCCATGAGGGCAACCAATAAGCTGGACTTGTCTGAGTAATGAAGACACACACAACTCTCCCATATCAAAGCAAGCCCATAAAACTTGCCCAGTATCTAACCATTTGTCCACATAACTACGAATTTGGAGGCTATTATCCCTTGCACGCTTGTGATGCGCTGAATACAAGTGACATCCCTTTTGTCGTTTTGCAGTCAAAAACATTAAAACAACTTCATTTGAAGCATACTGCCCGGTGTCAAACCAATTGCAAGAGTGTAAGACATATTTCAAGTTCATTGTGAGATCCTTAAAATCATCAAGCACCAAGGTTAAAGAGGGAGGTTGGAATAGGTAAGGAAAAAACTCGACAATCCCGTCATATTCATTAGCTACTGTGGTATGGATGAAAAGTAAAGTCACCCCCTCATGCCTTGTTGGTTCGTCAAAGTGAGCAGATAAAACCTCATAGGAAACATATGTCGCGGTCTCAATAAGCGTCATATTTGCAAATTGGCACTGCTGCTTGGTCTCATTTAGCTCGAGACTTTTCTCAAACACTATGTTCGCAATATTCTCGAACTATTCACCTTCCTTGTCAGCGGATTCCATTGGTTGTATAGGTACTGAAAAATCAATTTCGGCCTATCGAGTGGTTCCCCCAAGCACCTGAGTTACCTGAAAATGGAGCCCCGCTGATTGATCAGCTACTACATCAACCACAATCGGTGGGGCAATGAAGGGTGCATTCGAGTGTGCATCATAGGCCTTAGGATCGTTCCAAGTGCTGAACACTGATTCTGCAATGATTGATGTTGCCGACACTTTAACTTTACCATCCTCGTCATGACGAACACACTCATTTAATGATTCTTTGGCATCACTAGATGAATCAGTTTGTGAGTGAGGCCATTCTCCTTGTGGATTTTCATCGAACATTTGGTCCGCCTTGGAGTGTCCGACATCCAAATCAGATGCAAATGCATATGAGATGGGAACAATGCTCATAGCAGGAACAAGACACACCTGGGTCTCTGCCATATGCACCGGACCCGTGAAGGTTTGTGTCCGAAAATGCAACTGCAGCTTCTCCTTGAAATGGTTCCAATCATAGAATTGTTTGTTTCGATATAGCCAGTCGAACCAAACGAGGGCAGCGCCTTCAAGGTAGAAGTAAGGAAGAGATAGCTCCTCGGAGAAGCCAAGGAAGTGGAAGTATCGCTCAGCTCGACAAACCCATCTCGTTGCGTTGCCGCTGCTGAATCTACCTAGTATCACCTTGTTCATTGGAGTACGATTGATGATTGGAGTACGATTGATGAAAGCACCAATGTAACAAATAGGCAAACTCCTTACTATATCAATATGAACTAGAACTCAATTACAAATTCGGATAACAACGCAACATTCAAACAACTGAAATACAATAAGAAACGCTGGAATGTAAAAGTAGCTAAGGATAAAGATAAGAAGGGGACGAGAACTTAGACTCAGAGAAAGGGGGACGAGAAAGACTCAGAGAAAGGGGGACAAGAGAAAGGGGGACAAGAAGAAGCAGACACTTTTCTTCACAACACGCATGCCTTCTCCCTCGCGTAATATGATAATTATAAGAACTATATTTCCCTAGCCCAGTAACTCTTCGACACATGTACCTCAACCCGGGTCCCAATGGTAAACCAAAGACCTTATTTTGGGTTGTTTAATCATTTGACCCCAGTGTAAAATATTCCCGGGCCCAAGTGCCTTAGTTTCTTCGGCCCCATTCATAACACCCCACTTGTGGGATTTTACTAGGTTGTTGTTGTTGTTGTTGATATTCAAATAGCTGGGACAATTAATTCAGATTGGTTGTTCTAATAATTGGAAGGATTTGGTACATGATTTGCCAATCTTTCTTCATACTAACATTATAGGACTTCACAGAAAACTAATAAAAGGTAAATTACTAGTAATGAAAAAAAGCTCATAAGCAAACTGGTGCATTTGAGCCATTATCGAATAGGCACGAAATAAGAGCTCATATCCATGTCAATGAAGAACCATAGAAGTTTTCCGAAAATTGATTTACTAATAAAAGCAGATAAGTACACCTCACAACTTCGGACTATCAATTAACTATGCCTTAATTCTAAATTAGTTAGGATTGACGACATGAAAACAAAGGATACGGTTTTTGCGTCGTGCGAGGAAAATTAATAGAACAATAGACAAAGAAGGAACTTACAACTGGATTTGCCGGAGAAAGAGAGGGAGAGGTGGAAGTTCGCCGCCGACGGAGAGTGATCTGAACGCGCCGAAGCACAGTCGCGCAATTTCAAATTGGGGCTGATAATATCACTCGATATTTGGGTCCAAATAACCCACTAATAGTATTTGGGCTGTGAGTTTGAAATCCATTGGGTCTGTCTCCAATCTGATGAGGCCCAACTATTTGAATAGACACCATTTACACCAAGTAGCCATTCTAGAGGATTGATATTTAGGAATTAGCCAATAGATCCTAAATTTCAGTTTTACGGTTTTAATTTTTTATGACATAGAGTCCTGAAATTAATATTTTTAGCTCAAATTTTCAGGACAAAATAAGTACGGGCTAATCTTAAAGTGCAACCTTAAGAAGGGCAATTTGTGTACTTCCTCCAATTTTTTGAGACTAATTCTGCTACACAGGTCTAAATATAGTTTGCAATCTGAATTACAAACTGTAGGAAAATATTTGGGGTCAAATGGTTTTGTGAGCCATTAAAAATTCGTTTTTAGTTTTATGACCTCGTTTCTTTTTTTTTTTTTTTACACATGGCAGACTTGCTTTTACACATGAAAGATTTATCTTTTACACGTAAGAGATCTAAGAAAAATATTTGCTTAATTTCAACATTGTAAAAAGCATGAAGGCCTATTTCCTCGAATATTTGAGCCAATGTAGTGATATTTGAGCTTTGGACCGGGTAAATTATAATTGAGTTGTTGATTTTATGATGAATCCTGGCTCAATCTGTCAAATACTACTAAAACTAACTCAATCTCTTCACTCCTCTATTTAAACGAGGGGTGTACATGATTCGGTTTGGATCGGTTATTCCCTAAAGAGAAACCAAACCAAGTAAGTCGGTTTTTCAAATATTAGAACCAAACCAATTAAGTCGGTTTTTTCTCGATTCGATTTATGTCGGGTTTTGTCGGGTTTTCGGTTTTTTAGGTTATTTGTCGGTTTTTTCTTAAATATAAGACATACACTACCAAACACATATTCTCGCAACCACATTTTCAACGTAACACTATCAAATCAATTGCCCTTTGAGAAATCTATTATTTACTAGAATATATTGATGATAATTGAATCAAATAGTGATGAATAATTTAAGGACTCAATTAAAAAAAAAAAAATTCAACATGAAATGGATTCTTACACTTAACAAAAGAAAACTACCAATCAAACTAGAATATAAAGGTAAAAAATGTACTCTAAGTGCAAATGATTAACATTCACCATAAAATTTTTGAAACTTTGTATAAAAATATACATATATATAGGTGTAATAATAAATTTGAAATAATTACTCCTATAGTCGGTTTGGTTCGGTTTTTTCCGGTTATTTTTTTATTAAAAACAAAACCAAACCAAATTTGATCGGTTTTTAAAATTTAAAACCAAAACCAAACCAAACCAAAAAGTATCGGTTTTTTTGGTCGGTTTGATTCGGTTTTTCGGATTTTTATGAACTCCCCTAATTTAAACTATTATCTAAATAGTCTTAGCGCATGCGTGTTGTACCTGTAGCTAATTAATAAGAGAGTTGCCGAAGCAGTATTTACTATTGCTAGGCATATAGACTTGGTTCCTAGGTGACCTTAACTATTGTCGACAAACAAAGCTTACATCTATTATATTGATTGTTGACATACACATTGTCCTTATGATAATCGGCAATTTCCAAAAATTTCATCCTTTTCTTTTGCCATCAATTTCTTAATTTTGAGTTAAATAGTTGACATATATACACATTGTGTAAGATTAGTAAAGGGCTTTGCAAAATTTTTGAGTTTCCAGCTTCAATTCACTCGTTGTCTTAAAATATTGTATTAAAATGTTCAGATTTAGTTTTCAGTATAATATTTTATGAGACCATTTTATACTTTTTTTAACATAAAAAAAGAGCTTTAACAAAAAAAAGACAAATTTTGGTAAAGAACAAAAATATCTTGGTAAAGAACGTATTCATTTTGTAACATTGTTTAATTTGTGCATTTATGTGAACCAACATGCCATTGAAGTTGGCACAAACCGCACCTCCTCATGTAGTTGTACTATATGCAGTGGAATTCTCACTTCCCTAGGAAATGTCATAAATGCTCCCAAAATGAAATGGAGATATAAGACCCGTTTGACCATAAATTTTGCCAAAATAAATTTGGGTTTTATTTCGCAAACACATGTTTGGCCACAAATTTTGCCTATATTTTGGCAAAATCTCAAGTCTCAAATCTCAGATTCCAAAACCAGCAATAGCTGGTTTTGGGCCAAATCCCTAATAATACACATGTTTTTCCAAAATAAATTTGGGATATATGTTTTGAAAACGTATGTCCAAATATATATTCATCTTCAAACCAAATTTCACCCAAATCGGATTTTTCAAAACAAATTTGGGAATCTATGGTCAAACGTTAATCTGTTGGTATGTTGATTAAAAGATTGGTACAGTACTTACGGGCGTTAGTCGGTCTGTACGGTACTGTATTTAAACAATTCGGTTCGATATTTTCGGTATTCAGTTTCTTAAAATGCTATACTACTACCGTACCTAATTATTTCGGTATGACTCAATTTTTCTCCTTTCGGTTTCGATTTATTCGGTACGGTAACTTCGTTTTGTTCGGTTTCAATATTAACTAGACTATTGACAAAAATTATGTCCAAAACCAGCAAGTATGAATCCATAAGGTACATGAAGGAATAATTTAATCAATAAAAATATCCTGTCACTTGCTCAGAGCTAATTACTGAAGTTAGAGAATATAACAAGGACTAATCCAACAGATGCAATTTAATACACGAGAAGAAACGCCCTAAACCCGTAAAAGTATTACGTTAAGATGTTTGGTATCCAAGAGAAAAAGAGTTAAAATCGATAGCCTACCTTGGTCCTCCATTTTCCTAAAGAAGTACATGGGCTTTAGTGCCAGCCTCAACATGCATACCAAAGAAAAGTAATGTTATAATCAATAATATGTGTATTATGTAACTTATTATATAATTCGGTTCGGTATCGGTATTATTTTTGTAAATACCAAATAACATACCTAAGACCAAATATTTTTAAAAACATAAATCAAATACCAAAAAATTGAATACCAAATACCAAAAATTTCAATTTTGATACGATAATTCGGTATTTATCAAATTATACACAACCCTAATAATACTAGTAGTATATATGGTCCATGTCCGAGCCTTAATTCCTAGAGGGCAATAAATACACGGTTTTCTCAGAAATAAGTACTTTTGAAATTTATATATGGTTATAAATTTATCTCATCTAATATTATATACTCTTTTCGGTTCATAATAATTGACTTTTTGACCTTTTTATTTTGTTCCAAAAGATCATTCACCAAGCCTGGCACTGAAGAAAAGAAATTTAAACCTCAATCTTCAATATTTATACCATTTTATTGATCATTAGATCAAACGTGCTAGTTCTACGTGTTTGAAGCAAAGTAAAGCATTTGGTAGACAATCGTTCCCATTTTATTTTTCCTTGTTATTTTTAATGAAGGAAAGTCTTTGCGTAACTCGCAAAGTTGCTGCCATATGACCAGGAGGTCACGGGTTCGAGCCGTGAAAATAACCTCTTGCAGAAATGCATGGTAAGGCTGTGTACGATATACCCTTGTGGTCTGGTCCTTCCCCGGACCCCACGCATAACGGAAGCTTAGTGCACCGAGCTACCTTTATTTTTATTGAGAAAGAGGACATTGCATATATGAACAAACTTTAAACTCTATGAACTTCTCCAGTGTGCGTTTATTTGTTTTTTCGGAATCATTCCACATGCAGAAAAACATTGAAACGTTCACACATTCACATGTCTTAATTATATAACTAATTCAACTCAGATTCAAATCAAGAATGACAGGAAGGTTGGTCAAAATGTTTCATTTCATAATAAACAATTATTATAAACTATAGAATTGTGTAAAAATAGCACGGTCTAGTCAGTTTTCGGGCTGGTCATTCAAAAATAGCCAGCGTTTACCAAATCAATGAAAAATAGCCATTATTTTGCTGCAACAGAGATCGGTCCAGCATGATATACTGTAGTTCGGTGCACCTGTCTATGAACTTCTAGCATATTAAGTGGAACTCCAACACACGGAAAGTTCCAGCATAATATACTGGAGATTCGAGCATTTGTGTATGAACTTCCAGCATATTATACTGGACCGGTATACTTTGCTGGAACTCCAGTATATATGATGCTGGAGTTCTAGTGTACTTATGTTGGAACTCCATCATATTATGTTGGAGTTCCAGCATACTTATCCTGGAACTCCAGTATAATATGCTGGAGTTCAAGTATACTTATGCTGGAACTCCAGCATAATATACTGGCGTATTTTCCGGGTTTTGAACAGTGTTTTCGCTCAAATTTATCTTTACATGAAAAGAGGCTAAACTATTTTTGAACGACCACTTGTAAATCTGACCATTTTTGAATTTCTCCCTATAATTGTTTATTTTTCGTAGGTCCAAACTTCTAGCTCAAATTAAACTTTCCTACCTTACACACATTACAATGAATGGCAGTCTGATCACCATTTATCAGCTACTATAAATTTGTTTGATTCTCAGAAAATATGCTCCTAAAATTATAAAAATATATTCTTACTCGTTTTTATTTCTTATGAAGGTTTGATTGTCAAATCACGTGGGCGACTTGGATCATCATCAGGTTTGAACGGTTGATCGCGATGATGACTCATTAACTTTCATCGTATATAATAATCTTAATTAAGAACATTAATAATTATACACAATATAATGTTATTGTTATAAAACAATAAAAGAAGAAGAACAATATTGTAGAGAAAAGTAGGGAGAGAGAATTCTTATTGATTTGGGATGAATTACAATATAATAGAACCCTCTATTTATAGGAAGAGGGTGACTTAGCCACCAAGCAATGAACCCTAGAATCTTTCTAAATATAGACATTCACCATAAATACAATTCTATTTATAACACTCCCCCTTGAATGTCTATTCAACAGATAATGTGCCTCGTTAAAACCTTAACTAAAATAAAATCCAGTGGGAAAAAAATTCTAGAG